CCTTGGTCGCTTAAGCGATTTAGGATCGCTTAAACGATCAAGTGCAAGGCAGAATCAAGATCATCCTAGATGCACGATTGCTTAAGCGATTCTTCACGTTTAGCCTTGGTTGCTTAAGCGATCAAGTCCAAGGCAAAATCAAGATCATCTCAGATGTACAATCGCTTAAACGATTTATGTATCGTTTAAGCGATTCTTCACTTTTAGCCCTTGGTCACTTAAGCGATCAAGTCCAAGGCAGAATCAAGATTATCCTAGATGCACGATCGTTTAAGCGATTTATGGTCTTGCTTAAGTGGTTCTTCACTTTTAGCCTTGGTCGCTTAAGTGATTTAGGATCACTTAAGTGATCAAGTCCAAGGTTGAATCAAGATCTTCCTAGGTGCATGATTGCTTAAGTGATTTACGGTCTCGCTTAAGCAATCATGTATAGAAAACCCTTGATTGCTTAAGCGATATATATATATAGTCGCTTAAGCGATCATGGGCAACACTTATTTTTCCAACTTTTCTCCTGAATTTTGACAAACTAAAATCACTGACACATATTAATTCCATCTTTTCTCCTGAATTTGACAACTTAATTGCATCAATACATTAATGTCGTTTAACAAGAATATTAAATAAACTCAAACTCAAAAGAGGAAAAGAATACTAAATTGCTTTTGTACAAATTTGAAATATGTCAATTACATTAAATTACAACATTATATACAACAAATAAATGTCCTATATACCCCAAAATAAAAATAGTGCCGACAGCCTCCATCCTCCCTCTTCATCATTCTCTTCAGCTACTTCCCTATCCTTCACAATTATCTAGCACACCTTCAGCATCAGCAGCAACAGTAGCAGCCTCTTCATCCTCTTTTACAGCACCCCTTCCAACATTATCCAGCCTTGGCCTTGGCCACAAAGCATACATAACACCACAACCCAAGTATCAATAGCCTAACGTCTAACAACATCAACTGATCTAATTCAAGACAATCCAATTATTCAAGACAACCCAATAAGAAATGCATTCACATAAACTACAAAACTTTAAGTCCAACTTCCATACCTGATCTTATCTGCAGATCTTACAGCATGTTTCTTGATTTCTTGCATCTGATCGATTCGAACCTAATTTTCTGGATCTAAATGTGATCGATTCTGGCAACTACTTCTCTTGTGATCAAGTTGCTTGCAAATAGAGCACTTATTCATCCTTCGAGGAACCTCACAGACTAATGGACTACGCTTAACTTTTTTTTTTTTCCCTTTTTTGTCTTCTTGAATGGTGGATGGATGATAATGTCAACCAACTTTGGCGACACCACCCACTGCTCTTCTGGAGGAACTGGATATATCGCTTCCGAATAAGTCAGTATGTAGTGGTTTGCCATATGGAGAGGGGAGTAAAGTTCCATGTAAATTCTTGAACCAAAATCCGGCTTCCATTGGTGTTTCAGTGCTGCTAGTGCATGAGAACAAGGTAAACGTTAAATGTCAAGCACTTTATAGCTGCAAGTTTTACTAAGAAGGTTAACTAGGGCATCCGAACCATAGCCGCGCATGGTGAACTCTTGAGCATTGAAAGGATATGCAAGCGGTGCATTTGACAGTTCCATATGTTCTCGCATTAATTTTTCAGCTGACAGAACAAGGGTTGTGGTAAAATTATCTGACTTCGTACAATGCTCATGGAACCACTATGACAATTTCCTCTGGATTGCATCAAAAAGGGCAACAATTGGAAACACTCTTTCTATTAACAACTTCGAATTTATGCACTCGGCTATGTTCGTGGTCATGACATTGAAGCTTCTTCCAGGAAAGTAAGCTCTACTTCATCGCTCGAAATCAACATCATGCTCAAGATATTTACCAATTCTATCATCCTTGATTCGGATTTGCCGAAAGTGCTCCTCAAATTCATCAACTCGATAAGCTTTTGTTGCCATGTAGTATGTCTGAAGGAGGCTAACACACTTAAACTTTTGTTTTATGTTCTCACCAAGGTGCCTCATACAGAATCCGTGATGTGCTTGAGGGTAAATAATGGAAATCACCTTCTTTATAGAGTTGCGCCTATCGGATATTATGCACAACTCGTCACTGTCAGGCACTATCGTAATTAATTGTTGGAAAAACCAAGTCCACAACTTGTCGTTCTTAGAGTTAACCACACACCATGCAACGGGATATGTGTGATTCTCGTTGTCCTGTACAGTGGCCACCAACAATGTACCTCTATAGTTTCCTATCAAAAAGCAACCATCAACAGCCAACACCTTTCTCATGTTTACAAAACCCCTTATAGTAGCACCGTAAGCAACAAAAAAATATTTAAACCTCATATTCTTGTCCCACTTCAAAGCCGTCTTACTACCTTCGTTTGTCAACTCAAGCATATAACGATACGCTTCTAATATTGCGTATCCATGCTCTGGCGTGCCTCTCACAAAATCTTGTGCATGTTGTCTCCCTTTCCAGCATTTCCAGTAACTAACATCGCATCCCAACTCTGTACGCACAAGTCTCTAAATGTCCTTAGATGGACATTTCCCTTCAACAAACTGACTTTTGACAAACTATCCAATAACATCAGCGGAGACTTGTCGATGCTCGCCTGAAATATGTCTCAACCCACATGTGTGCTCACGGGTATATGTGCTAGCAATAAATTTTTTGAACTCTGCCAACCTTCTACAATAAACCTGTCACTTGCACTTTCGATCACGACATACAACCGTCACTACTGATGAATTAGACTTTTTGGTGATGAACTCAAAATTATCTCTCACGGCAACAAGTTTTAGCTTCCTCACCACTTCCTCCTTGTTGTCAAATAAATAACCTACGTGCAAGTCTGATCCATCAGTAAAAACGTAAGCTGATTCACTACTACCAGCAATTACCGCCTCTGAACCTATATAAACGACCATAGTGTTCTCTTCCTCACAAACTACACCTTCTGCATAATCTGTATTTATAGAAACTCTACATCTGTGAGAACATGTACAGGGTCCTCCTCGTCCACATTTTCATTCTGCCCCACACGACCAACCTCTTCTACAGTGTCCTCCTCACCACCCAAATCACCGCCTACTCTTGATTTTTCAACAAAGAAATCAATGTCCACGTAGTTAAAATTAAAACCAGCTTTCTCCCTACCCAAATCACCGCTACTCTTAAACTAACTTCCAAAGCTTTATCCACAACTGAAACCGTTAAAATCAGCCTCAAACCATTATAGCCCACATCAAGCATAAATAACTTCACATCTTCATCAGACATTAATACAATAGGAGGTACCTTAAAATTTGCAAGAGCTCTGCTTAAAACATACTTCACAACTATATCACTACGTGAGCAACTTAACCCACCTCCTCTAATGATTTCATCAATCTACTCATCAAAACTAACTTCTGTACTCATAGCAATTGCTTTAACTTGTTTGCTCTTCCCAATCCACTTCTAGCAACTTTCTTCCTCCACCCACTCACCAAAATATTCAACATCCAAAACCACTTGTCCTATGTCTAATAATAGCCAAGTACTTATAATGCAAGAAAACAAAAATTATTAACCGATATATTAAGGGTTAATAGATTTTAAAAAGCATCTCAGAGTCGCTTGAGCGATGTGGTGTATCGCTTAAGCAATCTGGTATATCACCTACTGGATCGCTTAAGCGATATACTGGTATAAATAAGTCTGATCATTTAAGTGATATGCTGCCATATACCGGATTTATAGCAGATCGCTTAAGCGATCTTCTGCCATAAACCTGATCGCTTAAGCGATCTGTCATCTGCTACATTAAACTAGACATACCAGATCGCTTAAGTGATCCATCAGATATAGAACACTTTTTCAATCATCTCCACATACAATCGATGCTACCACCCCCAACTACTAACAATGCAAGAAAATATTCAACAAATTTCACTCCTTTGAACTTGCATTACATCAAACACAACCCAACAACCTAAAAAACTAAATCAAAATCATAACCCAAACCCAATCCATCATTAAATCTTTGTAAATCAAAATTTAAAATGCAAAGAGGAGATACACATACCTAGACAAAATGTCAGGAGGAGGAGGAGAAGGGGGATCTTTGGCGGAGAAGATGTTAATGGCGAAGGAAGAAGAAAGTGTTAATGGCGGAGGAAGAAGAAGATGTAGAGGAAAGAGGAAGAAGAAGATGTAGGCGAAGAAGATGCAGACGAACCTTAGAAGAAACAGCAAACCAGGGGAGGTGCATTAATGGCGGGAGGAAGAAAAATAAGGTGTTTGGGTTTGTTTGCAAGATTTTCGGCTTTTGGGGGACATATTATAATTTTTAAAAGATTACACAATACTTCAGTAATCCTAATTAACCACTAATCATGTTTAATTAACCTTAATCAGTAATAAGACTATTTACTTAACATTTTAAAACTACATAGCCTTTTAATTAAATTTGAACTTGATTTGTTTTTTTAATAAAATGCCCCTATTTTCGCCCATCTCCTATACAAAGTGCGGAGCTAATATTAGGGGTTTAATTATCTACCCACTTACAATAGTACAAATAATAAGCGTACCCAAGATTTTCCGAAAGTATTATATACCTCCCCAACCAAGAGTGGGACAAGGATTAATCAGAGGCAAGGATTGAATTTTGAAAAGTCAGTCAAATAGAAGTCCTTGACCATTGGGTTGAGCACATTCACCCCTATTAACAACCTAGTTAGATCGAATTCAAGACCTCTTGAATAATACACCCAAGAGTCATTGTTGACCGTTGGACCATCCAATGGTGATTTGATCATATTATTCAATGTTTTCGATGCATGCATTGATCATATTATTTAATGTTTTCGGTCTTTGTCACCATTTCTGGTTGTTGATATATGTAAATCAATAAGAAATTTTTGCGTGGAATCATTCATTAAACATCCACATCTTTGATGACTAGAAAAAGTAGAGCATCTGATATAAAATGGCTAGAAAAAACTGGCTGGTGTAATACTCTATTGAACAAGTTACTGACTTGACAGGGAAATCAACAATATTATGTATAACTTACTGTCATCTACATTTCCCACACTTCTGTCATCTTTAACCGGCACAAGGCTGGTATATTATTCAAAGCATAGCTTGACCTCAAAGGTCTTTTTATCTTATTTGTTATACAAACAATAAACATTAATTGATCAGCTATAAATGTTCAAATAGTTTCTTCAGATTGTAAGGCCCTGTGATATTTGGGGTTCCATTCCACACAAGTTCTGCAATTATCTTGTATGTCTTCTCAGTGGGATGAATAGCATCAAAGAACATATATTCCTCAGGATTATCACATAACTCGTAATCTTTTATTCCAGTCATCCCCCCACAGCTGTATGTTCCTCTGTATCGACCACTGCCACAACATGCCACTATGGCCTCCTTCAAACCTTCACAACATAAAAAATTCAGTACAGATTGTACATTAGAATAGAGCTAGGCGCCTAATCTCGACATGCATATAAGATCGGATGATCAAATAACTTACCATATCTTGAAGGGTTGTTGATGATTTCCAGAGAAGAATTGTAGAAATCATGAATTGCATATTTGAATCCTGGTAATTGGCTCTCTAGCTCCGGCAGGACTTCAGATAGTGCTTTGTTATGTAGTTTTGCTAACTCTGAAACACTCTCCAGGCAAGATCCTGAGCTTCCCGGTACAATTGCTCTTATGAGTGGTAAACAACCCAAATCATCCAAATTTAAGAACCCAAATTTCCTTCCTCCAATCTCATATATTTCCTGTCAGAACAAAATAACTTCAAAAAAAATAGATCTTGTTTATAAAACACTGGAACAAGATTTTTCGAAAGAGTATGACACTATTACTTTGATTGTAGTTGTCAGGTTGCCGATCACCATCCCTATATATTTTTTTCTAGAGTAATCCGATTGAAGCACACTTGAGTTTGTGAACAAAGGGACCAAGTAATCATTGGTCCCAATGCTAAATATGTAAACAGCTTTGGATAGCAATCTTTTGGCTCCTGCATCACCTAGTTTCTGCTTCAACTGCTTCTCCACCAGCTTGAAATAACTTAGCTGAGTGTTAAGATCTATTACCTGGTATTTACATAACAAAATGTGAGCACAAAGGTTTTTGGCTAATTCTATTTACTCTTTAAGCTTAAACAGCAAGATTTCATACATATCCTCGTTGAGTTTCAGCTAAAGCACCAGCTCCTGAGGATGCGAAGTTCACACCATAAACAAATTGATCTTTATAGAATGGCAAAAATGTTGGAATTAATGGTAACTTTGCATACTCAGCTGCAATAGAATTAATTACACGGGCAAGATCAAAATTCATTTTTTCATCATACTCATACATGAAATTAACAACATAATAATAAATCATACCAATAAAATCTGGAATTAAACGCCCATTTGAAGCTCTCCCAGTGGGGTATTTAAAGAAGGTTTCGCCGTATGGCCAGAAATTTACCCGGAGAGTGGTGTTGATATAGTTATTATTTCCTGCATCAAATATTGAATCTCCAAAGATAAATAAGGCAACATGTGTTTCAGGCGATGATGGCCGGTGAGCATGCCCTGGGATGAGAAGGCTTGAGCACGGAACCAAGAAAAATATAAGAAATATTGATCTTGACATTTTACCATTCATTCACTTAATGGTCTATGCCCTTATCCATAAATTTCAGAGTCATATATAGGATTGTTTGAGTGAAGGACAAGAAGCTCAATAGGATTAGATTTTAAATGTCGGTCAAATTAGGTGGCTTTAGTCTAGTATGTTTATTTAACATTTGTTTAATAAACCATAATTCTGCAGCAATTCTTTTGTAACATTCTATATGGTATCAATCCCATCTTTCATTATGATTTCTAATAATTGATAATTGCCTAAAATTCACATCAATATGCAACGGATTAACGATTTAAAATTTTTAATTAATTCCTTTTAATCTCATGGTCACCACACAATGAAAAGAAAATTAAAAGGCCAGAAAAATGACAAAAGCAAGCAGTGAAGTATTCACGCAATTGTTTAACCGGGTCAGTCGATTAATTCCAGGTCATGCTCACCCATGTCGTCTTCCGTCCCCCCTTTGCTTGATTGAACAGTTACCAAAAAAGACTAAAACAAACTTGCCTTAAGATATTCAATGGATCAACAGGAAACTTCACTTGGGAATTAATCATAAATCATAATGAACCATCTTCTTCTCATCCAAGGAAATACCAATCAGACAAGACATGTTCCAGAATTCAAACTCATCTCATGACGTTTGGGTTTCTGATGGTAAGTTCAGTGGCTTTAAGCAGCCTTATGTCAGAAAACCCAGCAACAACATCTTTCCCACCGAAACTAACAGAAGCATATAGCAAGATATTGAACAAAAGTAGCAGCACACTTTTGAGCAATTCTTATATTTATTTTAATAGTTTCTTTGATGTAGTAAAGGTGAGCAATTCAATATTTTTGCGCAGTACTTGACTGAGGTCGACTCACTGTGCCCAAAAGTTGCAAAAAGCCATTGTACATAACTTGTCATCTTCCTTGCCCATTTACATGACGATAGCTTTACCTCCAATGTCCCAAACTGGGGAACAAAATATTAAACTTCCAATCACAATAAACAGAAGACGGAAGGCGTTTCACAAAATAAACCTTCATGCTCCATCTTCTTTTTTTGATTCGGGCTCTAAATGTGATTCTCCATTTTCATTCAAAGAATCACCAAAAAACTCACTAAGTTCATCCATGTTTGATTTCCTGTTCTGGACATAATTCAACAATCTATCTTGGAGCTCCACAGAGATAATATCCTTGCTCCCAAGTAATTTTATGAATTTCTCTGCTCCCTCTATATCTCCTTCACCTATATAGTATTTTAGACATGCAGAAAAATTTACCTCCCTGGGCTTCCACCCAATTTTACAAATCACTAATGCTTCTTCCATCGCTACCACTGCTTTTTGAGTTTCATTATGCTGAAAATACCCAATTGCCATATGGATCCATGTTGTCTGATTAGGCTTCCCCCCCTTCAATTTTGCCCCATCTATAAGATTTTCCGCCTCCTGAAAAAGCCCTTTTCTGCTATAAGCACCAATCAGGCAGTTTAAAATCCGAATATCATAGAATTCGTTTACTGATTCCCACTCGTCAAATATCTTCTTGGCGCTTTCAATGTCATCAGATTTCAACAATGAAGATATGACGCATATATAGCCTTTATTGTAAATCTTATGGTTCTTCTTGTAAAGTTCCCAAAGTCTTAAAACATCATCTTTCTTCCCAAATTTTGCAGAATGTGTGGTAAGAAACTCATATGCTCTATTGCTCTTCTTACCCGTTATTAGTTCCTCAGATTTCTTCAGCATCACCGCAGCTTTGTCCAAGAGTCCAGCTTATGCGTTCCCACTTGCTGCATTTTGTAAACTATCAAGTCACAAACAAAATTGGGATCTGATTCCAACATTGCCAGAGTTTTATCAATTCCCTCGACATCAGATGTAGCTCCAAAGGCACTCAGGCGTATACCCATTGTAAATTTATCATGTCCAACGCCTTTTTCTTGCATTTCATGCATCAGACTATCAAGTTTGTCATAATTTGCAGTCTGATAATAAAGATTAAGCAGAACATTGTAAGCCAACGATGTCTGAGCAAACCCCAAATCCCTCATTTTCTGCATGGTAGCCTCTGCTTTTTCCATAGATTTTACACTGGCATAGCAGTTAAGAAGAGCACTATAAACTGCACCGCCCTTTAATCGTTCCGATACATGGTTGAAATAATTTTCTGCTTGTTCTGTACCATGAACTTTAGAGATCAAATCCAACCGAATGGCAACATCAGAAGATGTAAGTGGCAAGTATCTTTTGTCAGTCATCCACATTGAAATCTGCGGAAAGAAAGAGAAAGAGATTATAACAATGGAAAGATAAAATTACAAGATCACCAATACCAAGTTTTTCCTTCTTAATCAAGGGAAGGGCTAATCTTGAATGTGGGGGAGCCAATTTTTTGAACAATTTCCATTATAAATAGTTATTTATTTATTACTAAATAAATATTTTTATTAAAAAAAAAAAAATCAATATTAAGATCATATCTGTAATATGTTCTGTTATCATAAAGCGGTTAATTTTTTTCTAATTCCCCCAAAAAAAAAAAAAAAAAAGTAAAGCAACATTAATATCAAATTTTATTATAAAGTAATTTTTTTTCTAATTTCTCAAAAAAAATAAATAAATAAATAAAGCGGCATTAAAATTTATTTTAAAAAAAAAAAAAAAAGCAGACCTAGAAAAGAAACCGATACCTCAAGACCGTGACTGAATCGTCGGTAGAATCGCAACTCTTTGATGAAGGCTTGGAGTTGTTCTTTGTCAACGGGATGCCCTTCTTCGATCCACTGGTCCAACAATGGAACGATTGAGACACTTGGATCTCCGATCGGAGAGATCCGACGGTAAAGAGCGTTCATCGAGCCTTTCAATCTCGAAATTCTCGAGCTTCGTTCTTCTATATTTGTTGAGTACGAGCTTAAAGCCGGTACATTTCCAAGACCCAGATGAGATTTGATGCTGTGGACGATTGCACTGAAACGTACAAGCTTCATTTGCAGAGAAAGGGCGAGGAGAAAGCGCAGAGAATGATTAAAACAGGGTTTAAGGTGAAAGAGCGAGACAGGGTTTAATTTATGTTTTTAAAATCTGGGTAATTATTATCACCCCTAATGTATAGCTTAATTACAAGAATGACCATCATAGTGAATATTGTTTTCGCTGATCTCCTAATTCCCATACAAAGTGCAGAGCTAATATAAGGGGCTTTTATTACCTCCTTAAGATATTGCAAAGTTTAAGCACCCCCAGGAGTTTGAGAAAGTATTATGTACCTCCCCAGATACTGGGTTTAAGCACCCCCAATACTTTTCAAAAGGCGTTTAATTTACAATTTTTTTCTGGGTTGCATTATATTTACCGAGTTTTACTAAAATTTTAAAATCGCCCCTTATAGTTCGAAAATTATTGTTGATCTCCCAAATCTCTCTTGAAAGTGGGAGACAAACAAACAAGAGAAGGGTTTACAACTCACCAGAGTTTAGGGAAGGCTTGGGAGAGGAAATGATATGCTTTCATTTTTGTATAGGTATTATGGCTTCTTTTAAAAGAGTAATTTTATTGAAAGGTTAACTATATCTATCCTGTTAGTAAGTCGTTAAGATTTGTATTATTACAGTTTCTTCGAGTAAAACATATAGAAGAAGAGTTTATTAAAGTAGAATTTATAAGAATAGAGCTTTTATGAAAGATTTGTTAATTGTTTGGTTAGGAAAAAAAGATCTGTAAAAGAGTTTTCAATATTAATTCACCAAAAAGATTTTTATCATATAAGAGTAGATCAAGTCAAAATTATAAAATAAAATAGAGATTTTGGAAATTTTAACATTTTAAATAAACTCAAAATGAGCTTATGAAAAAAACTTAAATTTTGAGCTTCTCCCATAAGCTGTAAAATAGCACTTTCCAAATGGAACCAAACAATTTTAAAAAATTTTAAAAGTAGTTATAACTTTAAACAAACTCTCTCAACCCCAAACAAGCTCTTATGCTCATAATAATATTTTAGAAAATGAAAATTGAACCATTAATAAATACAATACTCTTATTGATAAAATGGGGAGCCCTTATCTCATCCCATATCTCGTGTAAGTTTTTTCTTATTTCAACATGTTTCTTCTTTTTTTGATTTACTAATATCATCCTTGGGCTCTGAATCTGATTCTCCATTTTCAATTATAAAATTAACCTATGACTCATTGTGTTCATCCAAGTTTGATTTCCCGTTCTAGACATAATTCAACAATCCATCTTGGAGATCAACAGATATCATATCCTTTCCCCTAAGTAATTTTAGGAAAATCTCTACTCCCAATATATCTCCTACAAATTTGACAAACTACTAGTGCTTCTTTCACTAGTTTTTGAGTTTGATTATTCTCAAGATACCCTGTTGCTATATGGTGCCATTTTGTTTGGTTAGCCTTCCCCACCTTCAATTTTGCCCTATCTATAAAAGTTTCCGCCTCTTACAAAAGGCCCTTTCTGCAGTAAGCACCAACTAGGAAGTTAACAATCCGAATGGCATAGTAATCATTTACTGATTCCCACTCGTCCAATATCTTATTGGCACTCTCCAAAAGATGTGGGAATTAGGCCCATACCCAAAAAGCCCAACCCAAAAAACCAGTCCCAAGACCGATCCTCCCAAGGACCGGACCAGGCCCAATGGAGGAGGGCTCGAGCCCAAGGTCAGTCCCTCCCCCCAAGCCCAGGCCCAAACCCCCTCCCCAATTTCCTTTTAACCCTTATAAAATATCCAAAACTTTTTATTTAATATAAAATTGATAATAAATATAAGGGTTAAAAAAAATTTTACAAAAAAAAATATTGTCCAAGACCGACTGGGCTCGAACCTTTCCCACCTCTACCGTCCAAGTCATCCAATTTCAACAATGAAGTTGTGAGACATACATAGCCTTTATTGTAAATCTTTTGGTTCTTGTAGAGTTCCCAAAGTCTTATCATCTTCCCAAAATTTGCGTCTAGTGTGATAAAAAACTCATGCTCTATTGATCTTTTTACCTGTTATTAGCTCCTCAGATTTCTTCAGCATTTCCAAAGCTTTGTCCAAGAGTCCAGCTTTTGCTTACCCACTTGCTGCTAACTATAAACTGTCCAGTCCAAAACAAAATTGGGATCTGATTCCACCATTGCCAGAGTCTTATCAATTCTCTCAACATCAGATATAGCTGCAAAGGCATTCAAGCGTACACCCATAGAAATATTATCATGTGCAACACCTCTTAATAGGGGTGTTTTTTATTTATGTAAAAGGAGAGGGTTCAAGAAGTGTTAAAAACTAGACCGCCTGAGATATAATAAAATAACAATAATCCCCCACAGTTTCTCATATAATAAATAACCCTGTTAGTGAACGGTTAGAATTTAAATATTAGCAAATTACACTTCTACAATTTAATTAAACACTAAAAACTTAACATAATAAATTTCTCTTGGTTTCAAACCCCCCTTATAATTTGAAAATTATCATTGGTCTCCCGCCTTTCTCTTCAGAGGTTACAAAGGGGTGAGTTGGGAACAGAAGCTTTGTTTAGGAGAGTTGGGTTTGTGGGAGGAATAGTGGGTCCAGTATGGGCTTTGATTTTTGCATAAGTATGAAACTTTTTTTGAAAAATAATGAATCTATTAATGCCCACTAATAAATATTTGTCAGAAAAGCAGGGTTCTGAAGAAATACCTTTCAAATCTAAAACAAAACAAAACCCAGCAAAACATCTTTCCCACCGAAACTAACAGAAACATATAGCAAGATATTGAACAAAAAAAGTAGCACACTTATAAGCAATTCTTTAAATTTAACAGGCGCAAAATTCTACCTTGTTGAGTTTAACCGACAACAGGCTCTGTTAGGATATAACTGCTCTATATGAGGAAACAGCACCTCCCAAGAATATTAGAGATAAAGAAAGAGAAAATTTTTATTAAAACTCTGCTCCCTGATTTAGAGAACGCTAATCCTTAAATAGCCTAACAGGCCAACAATCCTAATTGACTTCAAAGACTACCTTCCTAATTAATTCAAAAGACTCTAAAGACTTAAAATAATACTGCAACAAGGAAATACCCTTTATTCCTAACACTTATTAAATCCCGATTAAATAACTTCCCACCAACTAAAACAAATCCTAAACAAATACTACTTCTAAATAACATCATCCTCCAGCTCAACTTCCATTGCCACATGATCCTTGTACCATTCTTGAGGTTGTCGAACTCTCATTGAAGTTCTCCTGGAAGTATCTGCACTCCTAACAGGCTCGTACCAGAATTCTAATCAAGAATTGCAATTGCTAGAATAAGATTTATACTTTCGATTACGATACAAAAGTAATATATCAGAAAGTGAAACTGAATACAGAAAACTTAAATAAACAAACTGAAATGGATTTAAACAAGCAAACCAATATGCTGGAAGCATTTTAAATGGAAACATCTTCTGCATACCTTAAATCCCCACCTCTACCTGAGCTAGAACGTCATATTACATTTGTGGTCCCAATAGAATTTCAGGCCATGTTCAAATCAATACTTTTTTTCAGGACTCAACCGAGGCCCACTCCTTGTGCCCAAGCATTGCTAAAAGCCAATGCACTTGATTCATGGCCTTCCTTGCCCATCTAGATGACGAAACCTGAACTGGAATTACCTCTATTGTCTTAAACTAGGCAACAAAATATTAGACTTCCAAGTTCCAATCACAATAAACAGAACATGGAAGGCGTTTCACAAAATAAACCTTCATGCTCGATTTGCCTTTAGGTCCAGCTTATTCAACATGTCTCTTCTTCTTTTTTTGATTCACTAATATCATACTCGGGCTCTAAATGTGATTCTCCATTTTGATTCAAAGAATCACCAAAAAACGCACTAAGTTCATCCACGTTTGATTTCCCATTCTGGACATAATTCAACAATCTATCTTGGAGCTCCACAGAGATAGTATCCTTATTCCTAAGTAATTTTATGAATTTCTCTGCTCCCTCTATATTTCCTTCACCTATAAAGTATTTTAGACATGCAGAAAAAATTTCCTTCCTGGGCTTCAAACCAGTTTTACAAATCACTAATGCTTCTTCCATCGCTTCCACTGCTTTTTGAGTTTGATTATTCTGAAAATACCCAATTGCCATATAGAGCAATGTTTTCTGATTAGGCTTCCCCCCCTTCAATTTTGCCCCATCTAAAAGATTCTCCGCCTCCACCAAAAGCCCTTTTCTGCAGTAAGCACCAATTAGAAAGTTTAAAATCCGAATATCATAGCTTACATTTACTGATTCCCACTCTTCAAATATCTTCTTGGCAGTTTCAAAATCATCAAATTTCAATAAAGAAGGTATGACACGTATATAGCCATTATTGTAAATCTTACGGTTCTTCTTGTAAAGTTCCCAAAGTCTTAAAACATCATCTTTCTTCCCAAACTTTGCATATTGTGTGATAAGAAACTCATATGCTCTATTGCTCTTTTTACCCGTTATTAGTTCCTCGGATTTCTTCAGCATCTCCATAGCTTTATCCAAGAATCCAGCTTTTGCATACCCACTTGCTGCACTATGGTAAACTTCCCAGTTCCAAACAAAATTGGGATCTGATTTCATCATTGCCAAAGTCTTATCAATTCCCTCGACATCAGATGTAGCTCCAAAGGCACTTATGCGTATACACATCGTTACTTTATCATGTCCAATGCATTTTTCTTGCATTTCATGCATCAAACTATCAAGTTTATTGTAATTTGCAGTCCGATAATAAAGATTAAGCAGATCATTGTACGGCAGCGATGTCCGAGCTAACCCCAAATCCCTCATTTTCTGCATGATGGCCTCTGCTTTCTCCACAGATTTTACACAGGCATAGCAGTTAAGTAGGGCACTATAAACTGGAAGGCCCTTTAATGTTTCGGAAACATTGTTGAAATAATTTTCTGCTTTTTCTGTACCATAAACTTTAGATATCAAATCCAGCCGAATGGCAACATCAGCACATGTAGGTGGCAAGTATCTTTTGTCGGTCATCCACATAGAAATCTGAGGAAAGAAGGAGAGAGAGAGACTATAACAATGGAAAGATAAAATATTAAAATTACAAGATCACCAATACCAAGTAATCATACTGCAGTTTCTTTTAATATTTAAAGATAGGAAAATAGAATATTATTTTGAAAAAAATCACAATGTATAAATGTAAGCAAAATAGCTGCCCATGAAAGTTAAAAGAGAAAACTTTTAACCTCCCAAAGAATCTAGCTACTAACTAAAGACTTAAAAACTAATTACAGAAAAGCAGTTCTTGTGTTTTTTTAGCTGATATGGGTAGTCTTTAGCCAGGTGCCCTTGGTTCCTTTTGTGTAGCTTGTTCCTTGGTCCTGTCCAAGGATTTTGGTGCTTAAGGGTTCTCCCCCTTTTTAGTTGTAATTTCTTATTGTTTTTAAAATTACCTTTTACCCAAAAAAAAGAACGATAGCAAGGTTTGGAGATTGTCACTTCCAAATTAAATTGGTCAAAGAAAAAGGAATTTCTCTAAATTCTGACACGTTAAGTGTCTTTACAAATAAAATTAAACCAGCATGGCAACTATCAGTAATAGCTTGAAATGTAATTCAGAAGAACACTTAAAAGATAATTTCTCTTCATGATTTCAGTAATTTTAAAGGGTGAGTACTTGGTTTTAGACTAGTAGTAGCTCCAATAAGAGCATGCTACATCAGCATGCGTGAACCTCCTCATTGGAGGGTTGTCTCAGCATGCATTGCACAGAAGTTTTTCCGTCTTAATCAAGGCAACGGCCAATCTTCAATGTGCGGAAGCCAAAAAATTTTAACAATTTTCATTACAAAAAGTTACTTATTTATAACAAAAAAGATATTTAAATAAGAAGAACTCATATTAATATCGTATCTTGCTTTGCAAGCCCGACTTCAAAACTGGAGTCCCCATGAACCTAATACTTTCTGTTATGATTATGATTGTTACAATTTACATTAATATAATCTTTATCATAAAGTGATTTTTTTTTTTCTAATTTCTTTAAACAAAATAATAAATAAAGCAACATTAAAATTTATAAAATAATTTTTTTTTTAAATGCCGTAGAAAAGAGACCGATACCTCAAGAGCGTGACGGAATCGTCGGTAAGATCGCAACTCTTTAATGAAGACTTGGAGTTGTTCTTTGTCAACTGGACGTCCTTCTTCGACCCACTGGTCCAACAATGGAACGATTGAGACCCCTGGATTTCCGACCGGGGAGATCCGACGGTAGAGAGCGTTCATCGAGCCTTTCCATCTCGAAATTCTCGAGCTTCGTTCTGCTTTTTTTGTTGAGTACGAGCTTGAAGCCGGTACATTTCCAAGACCCAAATGAGATTTGATGCTGTGGAGGATTGTTCTGAAACGTACAAGCTTCATTTGCAGAGAAAGGGCGAGGAGAAAGTGCAAGGGTAAAGCGAAGGAGAGTTCGATTTTATTTCGGGTTAATCTTATTTATATACCTAAATGTTTGTTTAATTTAAAAATGCCCGAAACTTTTGAAAATTGTCACTGATCCCACCCAGAAATAGAATTACCAAATACAAATGTGTATAGGTAACTGTAAGTATGGTTTATGTAAAAGGAGAGGGTTTAAGAAAATTCATTTGATCGAATAGTTTACATAACTGTTTGTTATTTTTTAGAACTCTACTTCAATTGGTATTCTTTCATGAAAAAAAAACCGAGATAACAATCCAATCTTTCACTATGATTTCGAATAATTATCTCGAATTCACATTAATATAGTTTCGTCTTGTAAGGTAGTTACATAACAACAAATTTATTAAATATCTTATAGCTAGAATTCCTTTAATTCTCATTACTAGTTACTCGTACGCTATTTTAGGTCGAGGAAAAAGATTTTAGAGATCTTTTTGGATAATATGAACTATGAAGCAATGTTTTGATACTCGGCTCTGCCCGACCGGTTCAACCAGGACCTAGGGTCTTCGTCGTGCGGATTATCACTTTCAACTAGTCACCCTAAACCCTAGAATTATGGATGATGATCGATGAGCATACAACGGCAATTATGTTGGGGCTTTTGGAAAATGAGTTTCAGTGAGTCCAAGGTGGTGAAGGGAGTGATTTCCGATGAGTGAATTGATCGAAAAGGCAAAAATTAATCGACAAAAACAACAGCTTGTTGCCGATGATTGGCTGAGTGAACGACGAAAGGGTGAGATGTGTTTTGGTTAGAAGGTTGGGGAAAGTGTTTTCATGGTGATGGGGAGTGTTGTCGTTGTCGAAAACAGAACATATTTGACCTGGGTTGTTGAAGCCAGTGGTGGTGTTTGGGGTGTTTTTATAAGATTTTAAACGTGTAGAGATTTATAAGAATTTTTAAAGGTGTTTTTATTAAATTTCAAACCTTTGGACATTGGGCAAGTCAAACCAGTTCAATCGGTCAACTCAAGACTCGCCCACTTTACTGGGTTTCACCCCGGGTTGGTGATTAAAACATTTATGAAGTCCACTTACTTTTACCAAACTTAAAAACACCCTTATAATTTAAAAATTATCACTGACCTCCATACTTCTTTAGAAGTTACAAAGGAGAGAATGGGAAACATTTGCCGACTTTGTGTCATTTAACGCTAAATTCAAATGTATATAGTGGATAAGCTGATGTTGTTAATAGATAGGAAAGAAAATTTAAATCTTACTGTGAATTAAAACACAAACACTGACAACATGGGGTCATTTCATAAGTTTTTTCTCATTTCAAAAAAAAATCTCTATCATAAATTATTGTCATCAAAAATAATTTGTCACTCAGAAAAGTAGGGTTCTTAAGAAGTACCTTTCATATCTAAAACAACACAAACTCAGCAAAACATCTTTCCCACGAAAAAAACAGAAACATATAGCACATTGAAGAGCAATTTTTAAACTTCTTTTACAGTTTAATTTGATGTAGTGTACGCGAGTTTTAAACTGTAAGATCCTAGCAAAAAATCCTACAACAAACAACAGGCTCTTCTGTGACACCAAGTACCAAAACCCTAATTAGAGTTACAATTGCTACAATAAAATTTTAAGTTTCGACAACGATTCTAAACTCATACTGACAGAAAATGCAATTGAAAACAAAAAACTTAAAGCAAACAAACTGAAATCGATTTAAACAACCAAACCAATATGCTAGGAGCATTTTGAATGGGAACAAACAAACTGAGAGGTGATGTTGCGGAGGATTATACTGAAAAGTACAAGCCTCATTNACAACATGGGGTTCATTTCATAAGTTTTTTCTCATTTCAAAAAAAATCTCTATCATAAATTATTGTCATCAAAAAATAATTTGTCACTTAGAAAAGTAGGGTTCTTAAGAAGTACCTTTCATATCTAAAACAACACAAACTCAGCAAAACATCTTTCCCACGAAACAAACAGAAACATATAGCACATTGAAGAGCAATTTTTAAACTTCTTTTACAGTTTAATTTGATGTAGTGTACGCGAGCTTTAAACTGTAAGATCCTAGCAAAAAATCCTACAACAAACAACAGGCTCTTCTGTGACACCAAGTACCAAAACCCTAATCAGAGTTACAATTGCTACAATAAAATTTTAAGTTTCGACAACGATTCTAAACTCATACTGACAGAAAATGCAATTGAAAACAAAAAACTTAAAGCAAACAAACTGAAATCGATTTAAACAACCAAACCAATATGCTAGGAGCATTTTGAATGGGAACAAACAAACTGAGAGGTGATGTTGCGGAGGATTATACTGAAAAGTACAAGCCTCACTTGTATAGTGAGAGAAGAGAAAGTGTAGGCTGCGTTTGGTTCACTATTTTGAGAGTTTTAAGAATAGTCTTTTGGAAAAAATTGAGTTGAGTAGTATTCTAAACAGTTTTTTGTATATTTTTTAATAGCATTTTATGAAAATATTTATATTGTTTTTAACCTCTTAAGTTTGTTAATTTAACTAAATACCCCCAATAATAAAAGTTTATAAATTAACAAAAACAACCCCATCCACCCATGTATTGCCAGTAGTCGGCCACCACCGTTGAAAGATAGCCGGAATTTGCTGTAATGGCACACTACCAGCTAGATATGGCTAGTAGTGCGTCGATCTGGCCTTTTTCGTCCAAATCCACCGTGAATCTAGTTAGAAAATGCTAGATTTACGACCACGAATACGGCCAGATCAGATTTGGCCTTTTCCAACCAGATCCATGATGAATCTGGCCAAAAAATGTCAGATGCAGATTCCAACCACCTTTCGGCGGTGGTAGCCGGAATCTAACAAATGTGGGTGAGCGAAAGTGTTTTTGTCAATTTATAACCTTGTATTATTGAGAGTGTTTAGTTAAATTAACAAACTTAGGGGGTTAAAAATAATCTAAATATTTTGGTTGAATAAAATAGTATTGTATTTTAAAGAGAATTTTAAATATTGAAACAAATGATGAATATGTATTTGGATAGGATGGGGCCGAGATTAAACAGAGTTTAAGGTGAAAGGAAGGAAGGGTTTCAAGAATTTTTTATGTTTTTAAATCTGGGTAATTACTTATCACCCCTAAATTTTAATTTATTTCCCAGACCGACCATCATAGTTTGAATATTCATTTTCTCTAATCTCCTATTATTTTGAGAAACTTTAAACCCTAGTTAGTAAATAGGCGTATAAAACGTGAATTCCCGTATTCTATAAGCGCAGCCGAATTATACACGAATTATATGCCCTAGCCGTATAATTCGGTCATATTTTTTAAAATAAAATTTTGTTATTTAATGAGCCAAAACGACGTCGTTTTAGGTGAAATTTGATCAAAACGACGTCGTTTTATGCTTAGTCTCTTTTTTGGCACTCTCTTCCTCTCTTCTTCTCTTTTCTGCGCCTGCTTCCTCTCTCCTTTTTTTTGCCGCCCTCTTCTTTCTTTTGGCGCCCTCTTCCTCTCTTTTTCTCTTTTTTTGTGCCCTCTCCCTCTCTTCTTCTCTTTTTTGGCGTCTCTACCTCTCTTCCTCTTCAACTATTCTTTAACAAACACCTAAAAGGAAATTGTTCGTCTTATCTTCTTCTTCATCAACTTAATGACAAATAAAATTATTTGTTTTATTTAATAATTGGTCCGCTTCTATAATATTTGTAATAATTGATTACGAATCAAATAATATATATTTTTATAAACTAAAATATTATAATAAAAAAAGATATAAATCATACACCTATAAGAAAAAATAAAGAATGATTAATTCAATGATCATAAAAAGTGTTACAGTCAGAATTAATATTGTCGTATTTTTTAAAACGTATTATTAACAATATACCGTATTAAACCCGTATATACCTGTACCGTATTTTTCTCGTATCCAAATTTTAAGACTGAATTATTATAAACGTATTTTTCACCGTTTTCCGTATCATACCGTAAAATTCCCGTACTCTTTTTTTATCGTACCCGTATTTACTAACTATGGTTCAAAACCCACCGGTATTTACTATAATTTCAGAACACCCCTCAAAGTTTGAAAATGATCGTTGCTATCCTAAACCTCTATTGCTATAGCCCGACAGAAGATGGGATCAGATTGGGCTTTTAATAAAGATTAAGCAGATCATTGTACGGCAGCGATGTCCGAGCTAACCCCAAATCCCTCATTTCTGCATGATGGCCTCTGCTTTCTCCACAGATTTTCACGGCATAGCAGTTAAGTAGGGCACTATAAACGGAAGGCCCTTTATGTTTCGGACATTGTTGAAATATTTTCTGCTTTTTCTGTACCATAAACTTTAGATATCAAATCCAGCCGAATGGCAACATCAGCACATGTGGTGGCAAGTATCTTTTGTCGGTCATCCACATAGAAATCTGAGGAAAGAAGGAGAGAGAGAGACTATAACAATGGAAAGATAAAATATTAATTACAAGATCCCATACCACGTAATCATCTGCAGTTTCTTTAATATTTAAGATAGGAAAATAGAATATTATTTTGAAAAAAATCAAATGTAAAATGTAAGCAAATAGCTGCCCATGAAAGTTAAAAGAGAAAACTTTTACCCTCCCAAAGAATCTAGCTACTAACTAAAGACTTAAAAACTAATTACAGAAGCAGTTTCTGTGTTTTTTTTAGCTGATATGGGTAGTCTTTAGCCAGGTGCCCTTGGTTCCTTTTGTGTACTTGTTCCTTGGTCCTGTCCAAGGATTTTGGTGCTAAGGGTTCTCCCCCTTTTTAGTTGTAATTTCTTATTGTTTTTAAAATTACTTTTACCCAAAAAAAGAACGATAGCAAGGTTTGGAGATTGTCACTTCCAATTAAATTGTCAAAGAAAAAGGATTTCCTAAATTCTGACACGTTAATGTGCTTTTACAATAAAATTAAACCAGCATGGCAACTATCAGTAATAGCTTGAAATGTAATTCAGAAGAACACTTAAAAGATATTTCTCTTCATGATTTCAGTATTTTAAGGGTGAGTACTTGGTTTTAGACTAGAGTAGCTCCAATAAGAGCAAGCTACTCAGCATCGTGAACCTCCTCATTGGAGGGTTGTCCCAGCATGCATTGCGCAGAAGTTTTCCGTCTTAATCAAGGCACGGCCAATCTTCAATGTGCGGAAGCCAAAAAATTTAACAATTTTCATTACAAAAAGTTACTTATTTATAACAAAAAAGATATTTAAATAGACTCATATTAATATCGTATCTGCTTTGCAAGCCCACTTCAAAACGAGTCCCCATGAACCTAATACTTTCTGTTATGATTATATTGTTACAATTTACATTAATATAATCTTTATCATAAGTGATTTTTTTTTTCTAATTTCTTTAAAAAAATAAAAAAAGCAACATTAAATTTATAAAAAAATAAAGAGAAGAACCGATACCTCAAGAGCGTGACGGATCGTCGGTGATCGCAACTCTTTAATGAAGACTTGGAGTTGTTCTTTGTCACTGGACTCCTTCTTCGACCCACTGGTCCAACAATGGAACGATTGAGACCCCTGGATTTCCGACGGGGAGAGATCCGACGGTAGAGAGCGTTCATCGAGCCTTTCCATCTCGAAATTCTCGAGCTTCGTTCTGCTTTTTTGTTGAGTACGGCTTGAACCGGAACATTTCCAAGACCCAAATGAGATTGATGCTTGGAGGATTGTTCTGAAACGTACAAGCTCATTTGCAGAGAAAGGGCGAGGAGAAGTGCAAGGGTAAGCGAAGGAGAGTTCGATTTTATTTCGGGTTAATCTTATTTATTACCTAAATGTTTGTTTAATTAAAAAATGCCCGAAACTTTTGAAAATTTCACTGATCCCCCCAGAATAGAATTACAAAACAATTGTTAGGTAACTGTAAGTATGGTTCTGTAAAAGGAGAGGATTTAAGAAAATTCATTTGATCGAATAGTTTACGTAACTGTTTGTTATTTTTTAGAACTCTACTTCAATTGGTATTCTTTCATGAAAAAAAAAACCGAATAACAATCCAATCTTTACTATGATTTCGAATAATTATCTCGAATTCACATTAATATAGTTTCGTCTTGAGTATTTAACATAAAACAAATTTATAAATATCTTATAGCTAGAATTCCTTTAATTCTCATTCTATTACTGTAGTCTCGTACGCTATTTTAGGTCGAGAAAAAGATTTTAGAGATCTTTTTGGATAATATGAACTATGAAGCATGTTTTGATACCGGCTTGGCCCGACCGGTTCAACCGGACCAGGTCTTCGTCGTGCGGATTATCACTTTCAACTAGTCACCCTAAACCCTAAATTATGGATGAGATCATGAGCATAACACGGCAATTATGTTGGGGCTTTTGGAAAGGAGTTCGGTGAGTCCAAGGTGGTGAAGGAGTGATTTCCGATGAGTGAATTGATCGAAAAGCAAAAATTAATGACAAAAACAACCTTTGTTGCCGATGATTGGCTGTGAACGACGAAAGGGTGAGATGTGTTTTGGTTAGAAGGTTGGGAGAAGTGTTTTCATGTGATGGGGAGTGTTGTCGTTGCGAAAACAGAACCTATTTGCCTGGGTTTGAAGCCATGGTGGTGTTTGGGTGTTTTTAAGATTTAAACGTAGGATTTATAATTTTTAGGTTTTTATTAATTTCAAACCTTTGGACATGGCAAGTCACCAGTTCAACGGTCAACTCAAGACCGCCCACTTTACTGGGTTTCACCCCGGGTTGGTGATTAACATTTATGAAGTCCACTTACTTTTACCAAACTTAAAAACACCCTTATAATTTAAAAATTTCACTGACCTCCATACTTCTTAGAAGTTACAAAGGAGAGAATGGGAACATTTGCCACTTTGTGTCATTTAACCGCAATTCAAATGTATATAGGGATAAGCTGATGTTGTTAATAGATAGAAAGAAAATTAAATCTCACTGTGAATTAAAACCAAACACTGACAACATTGTCCCAAAAAACGCACTAAGTTCATCCACGTTTGATTTCCCATTCTGGACATAATTCAACAATCTATCTTGGAGCTCCACAGAGATAATATCCTTATTCCTAAGTAATTTTATGAATTTCTCAGCTCCCTCTATATTTCCTTCACCTATAAAGTATTTTAGACATGCAGAAAAAATTTCCTTCCTGGGCTTCAAACCAGTTTTACAAATCACTAATGCTTCTTCCATCGCTTCCACTGCTTTTTGAGTTTGATTATTCTGAAAATACCCAATTGCCATATAGAGCAACGTTTTCTGATTAGGCTTCCCCCCCTTCAATTTTGCCCCATCTAAAAGATTCTCCGCCTCCACCAAAAGCCCTTTTCTGCAGTAAGCACCAATCAGAAAGTTTAAAATCCGAATATCATAGCTTACATTTACTGATTCCCACTCTTCAAATATCTTCTTGGCAGTTTCAAAATCATCAAATTTCAATAAGGAAGGTATGACACGTATATAGCCATTATTGTAAATCTTACGGTTCTTCTTGTAAAGTTCCCAAAGTCTTAAAACATCATCTTTCTTCCCAAACTTTGCATATTGTGTGATAAGAAACTCATATGCTCTATTGCTCTTTTTACCCGTTATTAGTTCCTCGGATTTCTTCAGCATCTCCACAGCTTTATCCAAGAATCCAGCTTCTGCATACCCACTTGCTGCACTATGGTAAACTTCCCAGTTCCAAACAAAATTGGGATCTGATTTCATCATTGCCAAAGTCTTATCAATTCCCTCGACATCAGATGTAGCTCCAAAGGCACTCATGCGTATACACATCGTTACTTTATCATGTCCAATGCATTTTTCTTGCATTTCATGCATCAAACTATCAAGTTTCTTGTAATTTGCAGTCCCGATAATAAAGATTAAGCAGATCATTGTACGGCAGCGATGTCCGAGCTAACCCCAAATCCCTCATTTTGCATGAGCCTCTGCTTTCTCACAGATTTTACACAGGCATAGCAGTTAAGTAGGGCACTATAAAATGGAAGGCCCTTAATGTTTCGGAAACATTGTTGAAATAATTTCTGCTTTTTCTGTACCATAAACTTTAGATATCAAATCCAGCCGAATGGCAACATCAGCACAGTAGGTGGCAAGTATCTTTTGTCGGTCATCCATAGAAATCTGAGGAAAGAAGGAGAGAGAGAGACTATAACAATGGAAAGTAAATATTAAAATTACAAGATCACCAATACCAAGTATCATATGCGTGTTCTTTAATATTTAAAGATAGGAAATAGATATTATTTTGAAAAAAATCCAATGTATAAATGTAAGCAAAATAGCTGCCCATGAAAGTTAAAAGAGAAAACTTTTAACCTCCCAAAGATTAGCTACTAACTAAAGACTTAAAAACTAATTCAGAAAAGCAGTTCTTGTGTTTTTTTAGCTGATATGGGTAGTCTTTAGCCAGGTGCCTTGGTTTTGTGTAGCTTGTCCTTGGTCCTGTCCAAGGATTTTGGTGCTCAAGGGTTCTCCCCTTTTTAGTTGTAATTTCTTATTGTTTTTAAAATTACCTTTTACCCAAAAAAAGAACGATAGCAAGGTTTGGAGATTGTCACCCGAATTAAATTGGTCAAAGAAAAAGGAATTTCTCTAAATTCTGACACGTTAAGTGTCTTTACAAATAAAATTAAACCAGCATGGCAACTATCAGTCATAGCTTGAAATGTAATTCAGAAGAACACTTAAAAGATAATTCTCTTCATGATTTCAGTAATTTTAAAGGGTGAGTACTTGGTTTTAGACTAGTAGTAGCTCCAATAAGAGCATGCTACATCAGCATGCGTGAACCTCCTCATTGGAGGGTTGTCTCAGCAGCATTGACAGAAGTTTTCCGTCTTAACAAGGCAACGGCCAATCTTCAATGTGCGGGGAGCCAAAAAAAATTAACAATTTTCACTACAAAAGTTACTTATTTATAACAAAAAAGATATTTAAATAAGAAGAACTCATATTAATATCGTATCTTGCTTTGCAAGCCCGACTTCAAAACCGGAGTCCCCATGAACCTAATACTTTCTGTTATGATTATGATGTTACAATTTACATTAATATAACTTTATCATAAAGTGATTTTTTTTTTCTATTTCTTTAAATAAATAATAAATAAAGCAACATTAAAATTTATAAAAAAAAGAGAGACCGATACCTCAAGAGCGTGACGGAACGTCGGTAAGATCGCAACTCTTTAATGAAGACTTGGAGTTGTTCTTTGTAACTGGAGTCCTTCTTCGACCCACTGGTCCAACAATGGAACGATTGAGACCCCTGGATTTCCGACGGGGAGATCGACGGTAGAGAGCGTTCATCGAGCCTCATCCTCGAAATTTCGAGCTTCGTTCTGCTTTTTTCGTTGAGTACGAGCTTGAAGCCGGTACATTCCAAGACCCAAATGAGATTTGATGCTGTGGAGGATTGTTCTGAAACGTACAAGCTTCATTGCAGAGAAAGGGCGAGGAGAAAGTGCAAGGGTAAAGCGAAGGAGAGTTCGATTTTATTTCGGGTAATCTTATTTATATACCTAAAGTTTGTTTAATTTAAAATGCCCGAAACTTTTGAAAATTATCACTGATCCCACCCAGAATTACAAAATACAAATGTTTTAGGTAACTGTAAGTTGGTTCATGTAAAAGGAGAGGATTAAGAAAATTCATTTGATCGAATAGTTTATAACTGTTGTTATTTTTAGAACTCTACTTCAATTGGTATTCTTTCATGAAAACAAAACCGAGATAACAATGCAATCTTTTACTATGATTTCGAATAATTATCTCGAATTCACATAATATAGTTTCGTCTTGCAAGGTATTTAACATAAAAACAAATTTATAAATCTTATAGCTAGAATTCCTTAATTCATTACTAGTTACTCGTACGCTATTTAGGTCGAGGAAAAAGATTTTAGAGATCTTTTTGGATAATATGAAACTATGAAGCAGTGTTTTGATACCCGGCTTGGCCCGACCGGTTCAACCGGGACCAGGGTCTTCGTCATGCGGTTATCACTTTCAACTAGTCACCTAAACCCTAGAATTATGGATGACGATCAATGAGCATACAACGGCAATTGTTGGGGCTTTTGGAAAATGAGTTTCAGTGAGTCCAAGGTGGTGAGAGGAGTGATTTCGATGAGTGAATTGATCGAAAAGGCAAAAATTAATAGACAAAAACAACAGCTTGTTGCCGACGATTGGCTGAGTGAACGACGAAAGGGTGAGATGTGTTTTGGTTAGAAGGTTGGGAAAGTGTTTTCATGTGATGGGGAGTGTTGTCGTTGTCGAAAACAGAACCTATTTGACCTGGGTTGTCGAAGCCATGGTGGTGTTTGGGGTGTTTTGTAAGATTAAACATGTAGGGATTAATGGAGTTTTTAAGGGATTTTTGTGAAATTTCAAACCTTTGGACAGGGCAAGTCAAACCAGTTCAACCGGTCAACTCAAGACCGCCCACTTTACTGGGTTTCACCGGGTTGGTGATTAAAACATATGAAGTCCACTTACTTTTACCAAACTTAAAAACACCCTTATAATTTAAAAATTGTCATGACCCATACTTCTTGAGAAGTTACAAAGGAGAGAATGGGAAACATTTGCCGACTTTGTGTCATTAACGCCAAATCAAATGTATATAGCGGATAAGCTGATGTTGTTAATAGATAGGAAAGAAAATTTAAATCTTACTGTGAATTAAAACACAAACATGACAACATGGGGTTCATTTCATAAGTTTTTTCTCATTTCAAAAAAAATCTTCATATAATTAGTCATCAAAAATAATTTGTCACTTGAAAAGTAGGGTTCTTAAGAAGTACCTTTCATATCTAAAACAACACAAAATCAGCAAAACATCTTTCCCACGAAACAAACAGAAAACATATAGCACATTGAAGAGCAATTTTTAAACTTCTTTTAAGTTTAATTTGATGTAGTTTACGCGAGCTTTAAACTGTAAGATCCTAGCAAAAAATCCTACAACAAACAAAAGGCTCTTCTGTGACACCAAGTACCAAAACCTAATCAGAGTTACAATTGCTACAATAAAATTTTAAGTTTCGACAGCGATTCTAAACTCATACTGACAGAAAATGCAATTGAAAACAAAAAACTTAAAGCAAACAAACTGAAATCGATTTAAACAACCAAACAATATGCTGGAGCATTTTGAATGGGAACAAACAAACTGAGAGGTGATGTTGCGGAGGATTATACTGAAAAGTACAAGCTCACTTGTATAGTGAGAGAAGAGAAGTGTAGGCTGCGTTTGGTTCAAATTTGAGAGTATTTTAGATGTCTTTGGAAAAAGTAAGTTGAGTGTATTCTAAGAAGTTTTTTGTATATTTTTTAATAGCATTTTATGAAATATTTATATTATTTTAACCCTTGGTTTGTTAATTTAATAATACCTTAATAATAAAAGTTTATAAATTGACAAAAACAACTCCATCATCCACGCATTGCTGATAGTCGGCTACCACCGTCGAAAGATAGCCGAAATTGTTGTAATGGCACACTACTGGCTAGATATGGGTAGTGCATCGATTTAGCATTTTTCGATCAGATCCACCGTGAATCTAGTTAGAAAATGTCAGATTACAACCACGATAACGGCCAGATCAGATTTGGCCGTTGATTTAGCCTTTTCCAACCAGATCCATGATGGACTGGCTGAAAAGTCAGATGCAAATTCGACCACTTCCGACAGTGGTAGTCGGAATCTAGCAAATATAGGTGAGTGAAAATGTTTTATCAATTTATAAACTTGTATTGTTGAGGATGTTTAGTTAAATTAATAAATTTAGGGGGTTAAAAATAATCTAAATATTTGATTGAATAAAATAGTATTATATTGAGAGAATTTAAATATTAAACAAATAATGAATATGTATTTGGATAGGATGGGCCAGCTTAAACAGAGTTTAAGTTGAAAGGACGAGGAAGGGTTTCAAGAATTTTTTATGTTTTTAAATCTGGGTAATTACTTATCACCCCTAAATTTTAATTTATTTCCAGACCGACCATCATAGTTTGAATATTCATTTTCTCTGATCTCCTATTATTTTGAGAAACTTTAAACCCACCGGTATTTACTGTAATTTCCGAAACACCCTCAAAGTTTGAAAAGATCGTGATACTAAACCTCTATTGGTACGGCCGGACAGAAGTGGGATCAGATTGGGCTGTGAGAGGAAATTGGCATCCCATATAATGACGATTTATTAGATTCAATTATATTATTATTTAAAGATTGAAAATAAACACCATACATAATATGTTTTTACTCGACTCATATTCATGTAAATTTAGCTTTTTTTTTTTTTTTTCGAAACATGATAGAATCTGAAAATCCTCATAAACATTGGTCGTAAGATATAATTTACTCCATGGAATCAATGGGAACATAGAGTAAATATAAAACATATTGAATGATTTAGTAGCAGATTTTTTTTTTTTTTTTGAACATGATATGAATCTGAAAATCTTCATGAACATTGGTCGTAAGATATAATTTATTCCATGGAATCAATGGGAAATATAGAGCAAAAATATAACATATTGAATGATTTAGTAGCAGAATAAAAGCAAAAACTAAGCAACTAAAAACATCCTTAATATATGATTATCAAAACTTCAAAAAAAAAAAAACCACATCCAATTGAACATAAAAATAGAAAACAATAAAGCATTCATAGCATGTCCATGAGACAAAAAAAGGTGCTCTCATAAAGTACTCATCAAAACCATTAAAACTGTTTTCTGATTCTCTAATACAAG